TATCCTTCCCATATGATCTCGTTTTCCATTGCTCCTTGAACTTTTCTTTGTTGCTCATCACGTTCCTGTTTCCCCCGATCTTTTAATCTTCTGAATTCTCATTGCGGACTCCTTTAGGTCTCGATCTCTGTACTACCAGAAGAGGTCGCTATCCCAAAGTTCACAAACAGTCACTACCTCTTTGTCATTCCTGAAGATTCAGCTGTAGGAACTGTGATAGGAAAGTTGCAGCAGAATGAAGGTAAAGAATAATTGATCGCTCTTTACTTTTGCATCGATGGTTATTATGATCCTAATCAATTATTGATCGCTTATAGAAGTGTCCGGAGTTCGTTTTTCTGTAGTTGATGCACCAGAAGATTTTCCTTTCACAGTGGAACGTGCCACTGGTCAGTTGGTAGTTAGTCGCGCGCTGGATAGAGAAGCGAAAGAGGTGGCTAATATTTTACTTCTTCACTATTACTTATTCTATTTTTCATTTTTGTCGCTTCCTTTTGTCAACCCTCAAGTTTCTAGGTTTGGCGTTTCGTGGCCCGTGCAGATGCGTCAGGCTAACGCGCATACGATGACAACGGTAACAGTACGATTGTCGGATGTTAACGATCATGCCCCCATATTCGTGGGAGCGTACGATCGATTATCGATTAGTGAAGATGCGCCTGTTGGAACGACTGTCGCGGTTTTCTCAGCAACAGATGCAGACAGATCACCGGGAGGAACGATTACCTACAGTTTAGTAGAGGTGTGTAGCTCTTGAGTGTTCTGTTACTCATCGGGGGTTTGCACAACTTATTTTTGGATTTAAATTTCTATCTATGAACGGGTTGAATGAAATTCTGGCGTAAATCGACTTGGTGGGGGCATTTTGATGGTTCCCATAGAACACTACCAATACTTCTTGTAGAGACCAGTAAATTCCTGTAAAGCTGTGCAATAACAGGAACTCCGTTTACTTTTGACAAGAGTTTACAGGTCTAACCAAAATGAGACGTGTAATTCAATAAGAACTAGAAAAAGAAACTAACCAAGTGCAAAATACCCCCCCCCCCCTGAACCAAGCAGCAGCTTAAATTCCTATTCGTTTTCAGACAGATGAAAGTGAGAGTGCGTTCAAAATTGACGGTGAAACGGGATGGCTTACTGTGGCGTCGCCACTTGATAGAGAACTTCAACCACTCCATGAACTCATCGTGCGTGCTACCGATGAAGGAGGGCTGTTCACGGATCATAAGTTCAGAGTAGAGGTATATTTTTTTGAATATACGTCTTGGAATTGTTAAGCTTTCCAAACGGAAGCAGCTAGCCCTTACCGTGCAGTAATAGTCGCGATTTGTGACCGATCGCGCCCTACCGCTAATTGTTGGACCGCTGCAGTGGTCCAACAATTAGCAGTGGAGCGCGAGTTGGAGAGTGGGCGATTTGAGTCACGAAGTATGAACGCAGCCTTAATGTGCCAAGCTCATGTGGCAATGATGAATAAAACCTGAGATTTCCTGAGCAAAGTTGGTTGTTTATTGAATCCTTTAGGTCACCGATGTCAATGATGAAGCTCCTCAATTCGACGAGAATTTCTACATTGTCCATGTAGATTCTAGCGTTCTCACCATTGGCCAAATCATTGCCAGAGTTGTAGTAACGGTTCGTTCCATTTGATTTGTAGTGTTCAAAGTTTGCTGTCACCAGCTGCGGGCGGCCGCGTTGCGCTTCTCCTTTTTTTATTGATCGACCAAACGTGACGCGCCGCGACCGCTCGTGCCGTAGGCCCCAGTTTTTGTGGACGCGACTTGAGAGGTGATATTCTGCGCTTCAGGACAAGGACCTACCACCGTTCAACAACACACGCCTATTCATCAGTCGAGGCAATGATGACGGTCTGTTCGCCATTGACGATTCGGGCAAAATTTCCATCGCCAGACTGAATCAGCAAAAACGCAGTTATAACCTAACCCTTCTCGCCTTTGACGGAACTCATGCAAGGACGGCATCGATGAATGTGAGTTCTTTTTCCAATTTTTGAAAACTGCTCTCATAGCCCTTCCTTTAGATCACTCTCAACTCCGGGACGACCTCGGCATTTGAATGTGATCCGGAAAAGAAGATAACAGTCAAAGTGGCAGAGGACGTTTAAGCGAAAACAAAGAAATCTATCACGAAAAATCCCCCGTCACGATTCCTGGAAAGCGTTACCTCCTTATCTCGTCAGAAGTGCTGCCATTTACAATCGATCAGAATACTGGATCGATACTGGTGAAGGGAGAGCTGGATGCCGAGACTAGGAAAAAGGTTAGATTCGTTCACCACGGAATTTCCTCCAAAGGTTTTCGGTTCTCTTCCGCATTTCATTGACTTGTCATGCTTTTCAGTACGTCTTCTCTCGTCAGTTGGAAGTGAAAAGTCTTGGTTCGTCATGTAGTCAGCCAGTAGAAGTGCATATAATCGATGTGAATGATGAGAGTCCTGTCTTTACAAAAGCTGAGTACACCGTATCGATCAAGGAAAATGAACCAGCCAGCGAGAGTGAACGATATTTCGTCGCCAGGGTTCATGCTGAAGACAAGGTATGTCGATTTTCAAAATAGGTTTTTCGAGAGTGACTTCAAAATTGTTGATGAATTCGCGTTTGGAGTTACAGTCCACGTTGACTGTGTGGGCGGAGACAGTTACCCGTTTCGTCCTCATTGCAGCGCCCCTGACAAGGAATTTGATTTTGTATCAATGAGGAAGGCGCAATGGCGTGTGCCATGCTGCCAGGAGGACCAAAGACACCGTTGCAGAAGGCCGGGTTTCCGTGCCAGGCAACAACGTGTTTGCCGCGCGCCTCCCTCATCGGAGAGGGAGGTCCCGCAAATGATGTTTTTTGCGGGCTCCTCCCATCCGGCAATCCTGAACTTTGAGTTGTCTCTAAAGACAGTGAGCACTATCGCTGGGGCTCCCGAATGTCCTCAATGCCATTCGTGGAAGGGCTGAGTGGGAGCGTGGACAAACGCCCTCTAGCAGCTCTTCCACCAATGACGCTGGCAACAACCGCACGCCTCCACCAGTAGTAGTGGCCATCACATTCAAAGCAAAACGCGTCATCTTCTACCTTTCCTTCAAAGTTTACGATGAACCGTATGAAAGCACTTTACCGTTGCAGGACTCTGGACAGTTTGGACGTGTACAATACAGCCTGGTATCTGATCACGGTGGAATATTCGTGATTGACCGTGACACGGGAGCGATTACTGTAACTCGCCCATTAGATCGAGAACAAACCCAGGACTACTTACTACATGTTGTGGCCCAAGATTCGGATCCGGTTAAACCGAGAAGTAGTAAAGGTAATGTCCATCGCCAGTGATGTTTTGTACAATCGGGCTTCTTCACCCTAAAACAGTCGATTTCAGCAATGGTGCTCGTGTCGGTGCTCGATCAGAACGATAATCCGCCGTTGTTTGAGCGTAGCGAATATGTGCTACAGGTGGGTAATTGAGAGAAAATCTGCAGAAAATTTTCTATAGGATTTTTGAAACAGATTTTTTTCCATTTTGCCACTGTTTCGATTTTTTTGTATAATTGTGTGCAAAATACGGTGCGTTATGATGATTCTTATAGGTAATGGAATCTGAATCTGTCGGATATACGCTGGTGACGGTACGGGCTGAAGGTGGAGACGCTGGAGAGACGGTCACCTACAAGTTGTTAGAAAATGGGACCCACAACGACTATGTCACCCTTGATGAAGCGAAAGGTCAGCTTTCTTGGCTTTCACCTTCAGGGTACGTCCTGACGTTGGGGAGAGTTTTCGCGAGACACAACCCTCTCTCCCCCCTCTCCAAATTTTCTGCTCCTGATATACGATCTGCTTTCACAATCGAATCCCCTTACTAAGCTTACCCTTGATCCTGTCTTTGAGCGGAGGGGATGGTGTTATAGTGTGCGTGGAACGAGAAAAACAAGCAATTGGAAAAAAATGAGTTTCAAATACGGCATCCTCCCTTCCCTTCCCCTTGAAAGACGCGGATCCCGCGATAAAAAGTCTAGGTGTTTGCAAAAATGTAATAAAAATTCGCCGAGTGAACCATCTATGACCATCTATAAAGAAAATGGCCAAAAGGAACATTGGAAACGCATTAGTGAAGCCTGCTCTAGCGCTGGGACAATTCCCGTCGGCTGATTCACAGTAATGAACCCTATGACTCTACAAGAGACAATGAACGTATCCACTCCATGATACTTGCCCGGAGAGCATTACCTTTTGGCTGGAAGGTCGGCTTTGGAGGCGGAGAGATCACTGGAAAGAGGGATCCACCGTTGAGGCAACTTTGCGCCTCATTCTCTTTGCCGTACAACTTTCCGCCAAAACTGGCACAGGGTTGCCCACTCCGGACCGCACTACCGTCCCACATAACCTCTTGCATTTTCATAGGTCATCGCGGACCAGTTCTCTTAAGCGGTTAAATACCACGCCATTGGACATCCTCAAGAAGGGCCTGTTTTCGCGTCATATTGCGGAGATATCTAAAGGTCGTTCCGATTAAGATTATGGGGCTGCAAGTGGCTATATTTGGATTGCGGGATGCACTCATAACAAGATCAGCTAGCAAGAGAGATCATAAGTTTTAAGCATGGGTTTTCTGGTACTTTTTTCTATTGGTTCTACTGAAATAGACGCCTGACTCTGTGAAACGATGTTGAGAAAGCCGCTTCAATTTTGAAGCGTCCTCCCGCTAAAGGATCATCGTCCACCGCTGCCAGACGTATGGCGGAGTCGACACACCGTTATCCTTCCTCCATTGGTCCTCTCTTCCTCTAAAGGGCGTAAAGAGCAGGAAAGCGCCAATAAGGAAAACCACAGACGGTTGGTCTGACTGCCGCCTTCACCGCGCAAGCGGAAGCTGTGCGGTCTTGTACGTTTTCGGTAGAAATAGCACATGCACGCTCGAAAGCTGCCATTGCTTTTTTCTGAGACCATTCTGAATTAGGTGCCTTCAATGCTGGATCTGTCCCTTTGTTGGTGGCTGAAGAATTATTTGGATTACTGCGAAGAGATTTCATTTGTAGGAGTCCTCAAATTGGCCAAGGGACTTGATTACGAGAAGGAAAAGCTGCTCACGTTGACCATTGTTGCAACTGATTCTGGTTCTCCGCCTCTGTCATCCGAAGCCATCGTTACGATACAGGTGATCTCGAACTTTTGGTCTTCAACTTTTGTTACAGTACTTAATTACGACCTTTCTTCTGGTGTTGAGATTATTCTAACTTTACTTTTTATGTGGATTTGTCAGAGTTTAAAAATGCTGGATTTGTCAGAGTTTAAAAAATGCCTCGATAACTCGTTCCTTGTGTTTGAGTCATTATGATGCGGCTAGCATGACAAGGGTTTTAGTAAGAGCATAGTCCACGCGGATCACCTGAGTGGAGACACCAATGCATTCATGATAGCTCCCTCATCAAGGAGCCTCTCCTTTTTTTCTGTCTCACAAAGAGGGACCGCATCAATACGCAAGGCTCAATTCCAGGCCAGGCTCCGCCTATAAGATCGGCGTGGAATGTGTCTTTGAGTTCGAAGATCAGCGGATACAGAACAATTGATGAAAAATTAATGTGTAAATATGTTAATGATCGAAGTGAAGAAATCACATCGTATCTCAGGTGCTGGACGAAAATGATAATATCCCGGTGTTCTCGAAGGAAAGCTACAAGGCCGCAATCGATGAAAATTCTCCGAAAGGAACGAAAGTTCTGAAGGTGAGGATACTGTTCTTGTTCACAACTTTGAAATCGAAGATTATGAAGGATACGAAAAAGTTTTTGGTGCAGTTCGGCTTGGTGGGTGCTCCAAATAATGTTTAGCAAAGCTTGTACTGACCACACTGTAAAGACCTGTGAATAACTGTGACCGCAGTGGTTCACTTGCGCCTTTTCGCAGTTTCACAAAAATTTACAGGTCTTACCAAAGTGATACCTTCTTTCACATCAACCAGCAAGGCTGCGGAATACACCCCCCCCCCACATCCGGCTCTCTTAGCCGAAAAGGGTGCTGTTTGGCGACGGGGGCACTTTGTACTACCACGGCTTCCCTAGCTCAGGTTTACAAAACACACACCCTTGTGAAGCTGGTGCAAGATCATCGGGTCGCCATAAACGTGTCGACTTGAGAAAAGGCTACCTAGATGGGTCCGGCACAACTCTGTGCAAAGCAGAGATGCGCCTCCGTTCGACCAACAGCGCGCGAAAGCAACTTTGTACTATTTTCAAGTTTTCCCAAATTTTTCTTTCCCCTACTTCGATTTCACTGGTCATTTCCTGCTACACAGGGATATCCTTGTGTAGTGATTCTGTGTGATACTTATTCTGCAATATGGCCCATTTCACGAGTAAAAGCAGTTGATGCGGACAGTGAGCATTATGGCCGTGTGGCGTATTCTATCAAAGACGACTCAGGAATGTTTCATATTGACGATCAGGGTTTGATTACAGTGGCTGGACAGTTTGGACAGATGAAAACGGTTTGGGATGAGCAGAACACTTGTATTCTGGCCTACAACTTCTAATTTTCTTTTCAGAGGCCTTATCACCGTTTCGAGGTGGAAGCTCGCGATGGAGGTGAGCCAGCGCAGAAATCGGTGGTAACTGTTCTGATTGACGTCAACGACGTGAATGATAACTCTCCAGTATTTGCCGATTGTAACATGACGGCTGTAGTGCAGGTGCGTTTCTAATGAGTGGTGAAGCCCTTGAAAATCGTGAACTCGATGATAGGGGGCGGACGGTTATCTCCAACGCCATTGGTGCAAGGGCTGAGTGGGGTGTGGCGTAACGCCCTCTCACATCCTTTCCACAAATGACGCTGGCAACAACCGCCCGCTTCCAGAATAGCGCCCACTGTCTTCAAGGAGTAGAGATTTTTTTATAATTTTCTCCAAACATTAGCATTTATTCCAGGAAGGTGTCATGCCTGGTCATACTCTTCTTTCGTTATCGATCAGCGATGCAGATGGGGCGAATTTCGGTGCGCCGTTCCGTGTAGAAGTTCGTGGCGAGGGAGCAAAAGCGTTCCGAGTCGATGAGCAGTACAATCTGGTGACGGTCACTCGTTTCGATCATGCGAGGAGAGATCGATTCCTGCTCACTGTGAGGGTTGTTTTCTCTTTTTTTGTTTCTTCTGTCAGTGTTCCTCAGGGTCATCGATCTTACACTTCGCTTCTTTCATTCAAATATTCCAGTTGATCGCATATGATCGCGGAAATCGCTCAACCGATTGTCCGTTGACAGTGTTCGTGAAGGAGGAAAGTCGACATCCGCCTCGTATACAGCCGTTGAGAATCTCGTTGAATACGCTTATGGGAGAATTCAAAGGCGGTGTGATTGGCACAGTTCAGGCGAGAGATGAGGTGGGTCTGAGCTTAATTCTTGAAAACGAAAACAGAAGATAAATTTAATTATCTCCTGCTGTGAAAATTAGTTCATGTGTCAAAAGTCAAAATTCACTCCAACATCGGACTAAAGTGGATGAAATGGCGAGGTAGTATCGAAGGCACGCTCCACGCTCATCATGTGGGCGGAGTCGGTTAATTTGAGCATTTTCGGATTGAACTCGAACGTGTCGTACAAAAGATGTGTCCAAAAAAGCGCTTTGTGTCAGTCCTACAGCGATTTCTTCTCGGGGCAAAGTTGCAACTCCCAGGCTAACAACCCGCTTGAGGGTGGTCTTAGTCCTGAATTTTAAGCGACTGCTTGTGTGAGCCTTTGCTTCCCTTTTTGCTTGGAAGCTGTTTGACCGTAACTGTGGTGCGTTAGCTGCAGGGGTGCCACCATAAACCATTATTTTGTCTTTTTTTAGCAAAAAAAATTAACTTTCACTGCCATCACCAGCAACAATTTTTTTAAATATTTCCAAATTTTCTCGGTGCATGCATGTTTGAACCATTGGGTTCAGATGTATCATTTCTTAAAATGTGGTTTCTTAAAGGACGCTGGAGACATGCTTCGATTCTCGATGGTTGATGGTAGCATTCGTGGCCCACTTCCCACAGACGCCCATCCACGAGCTCATGTGGTCAAACCACATTTGTTCCGAGTTGATGCGAAGACTGGGGAGGTACTTAGAATCATCGAATTCAACGTTACCATCCGTTATCTCTCTTTGGGTAGAAGAGTGTGAAAAAATTGAGAGTTTGAGGAGAATTTTCTGGACTTAAGATTTGGACCGAGCATGGCATTCCTGGTGGTCTTCACGCCTTCAATGTCTCAGTAACTGATGGAAAATTCAACACTGTCAGCTATGTGGAAGTGGAGGTATGTCAGATATCAACTCCTTTTTGCTGGGATTTTCAGGAACAGAACAGTTCTGTTTACGCCGAGGATAGAATTGGCTGTTGGACCAGGTTCCAAATAATATTTATTTAGGTTACATCTTTGGAGCAAGACGCCGTTGATCATGCAGTTGCCGTACGCCTGAAGGGCATGACGGCGTTGGAATTCTTCACAAATTACGCCGCCAAGTTCAAAGCGGTCTTCGCACAGCATCTGAATGTCGATGCGAGAAATATTCAGCTGCTCAGTGTGCAGGAGACGTCGCGAGGTGGGTTACCATCAATAGACCCCTCAAATGATCCCATTGCATGTAGTGCTTTCAGCAAGAGTACCTCGATCATCGTTGCCGGATTCGAAGCACACAGATCTTGACATTTTGTTCACGGTATCACGAGGAGGTGGTCGTGGAATGCTGAAACCGGATCATGTCTACACCAGGCTCAAACACGATTTCCAGAGCATAGTGGATCAGAGCGGATCAATGGTGACTTCGTTAACTAGTTTTCAGAGGCTATTCATTTTTGTACAAAAAAAAATTAAATTGGTGGATCCTTCGGGATGGGGTCCAGCGCCAAGCGACTTTTTATTTTTTCAAGTTCAAAACACATTTATGATTAACTTAAGTCCCTTTAGTATGCAAGGCGGGCAGGTCTGAAGTCAGTACTCTCTTCATGTGAGACATCGTGGTGTGTGAAATGGCGGTGTCAGTACGACTACCCCTCAAACTCCTATTCTGGTACGACCCACTTCCATATTCTATCCACCATCTTCCTAAGTTTTACCGGTTTGTATCGTTTCCCCCGTTTTCTGGGAGGTTTCCCCACTTTTTTTTCTCTATAAACTGCTGTCAGGTTTTGTGGAGGGTGGAGGTCGAGGACTAATGAATTACTGTAATAATTCCGAAGTTCGTTTATCAGGAGTAGTAGTTTGTATGAAAGTTCTGAAACGTGGAACAGCTTCAAACAGCAGTAGATAGTGAACATGAAACGAAATAGAAAGGAGAGGGAATTCCAGAACGGTAAGAACTTTCTCGTGGCTCGGAAAAAGTTCTCTTAAAATTAATTAGGACCTCCCGAGCCTCCGAGTAGCGTTCTTCCTGATCCTTTTAACGTTGCTACCCTCCGATCTGAGAGTGAAGCCTAAAAAGCTTGGGTATGTAATAATCGATGTGATATCGCGCACGCTTAGCGTAGTCGCCATACCGTCAGCCTTCAGTTGAGCGTTTCAGGACCTGTGCGACCGCGAGCCATCTGGTTTCGGGCAACTGAAGCGCTGCCGTCGCAAAGTCTGAACGCTGTCTTACTTGGTAGTTCCCGACAAATATCACATGTGGCTGTTTAGGCGTAGGGCGGACCGTATGGCATGGCCGACGTGCGCGTGTCGCCCACCATTACCGGGCGGAGACAAGACAAACATCAGGATATTACAAACCTTTAGCTTCACACACTTGCGAGTAGCAGTATTGATGGATCTGCTTGGCTGCGGATTAGCTAAACTCTTTGGCGGGAAGGATTCACCTCTCCAGTTTCCGCACAGTGTGTATTTGAGGTTATTCCATACAATGAACGCACAAGATTAATTACCGAAGCTATAAGAATTTACCAAAACACTGAATCACTCATAAGTAAAAGTATCTTTCAGAAATACCAACTGACCACGGAGATGTGCACTCCTGGAGTATGCCAGAGAGGCGAATGTCGTGAGCGGGTCTATCTTGATGATCAGCAACAGACAACGGTTTCTACCGGAGGAGTTGCGTTTGTCGCCCCTAATCATCACCGCGTAGCAGAGTGTATCTGCCCGGAAGGGTACGCTCGTGCTTTTTGTCTTTTTTTGGGTTTTTTTTTATTTCGGGATAGGACGTAGACGTTAGGTAATATCGGTAGTTGAGGGCCTGCCGTTGGATATTCCGAACTTTATTTCAGTTATGGTGGATCACGATGTGAACAGGAAGTGAATGCATGTGCCCGTTCCCCGTGTCATCCGTGGGAAATGTGCGTGCCGTCGGAAGGCTCCCGATTTGAATGCGTTTGCCCACCAGGTTCCTCTGGTGACAGATGCTCTCAAGCGTCATGCGAAAACGAAGGCCGTTGTCTAGAAGGTACGGTAGTGATCGATGATTCCCGGAATGGCTGTTAATTCTCGGGTTTTCAGAGGCAGAACTTTCCGTTGGTGGAACAGGTTACTTTGAAATGTCAATTGCTCATGAAATGGAGACACGTATGGAATTGGAAGTGGAACTGAAAACGACCACATTAACGGGAGTCATTTTGCATGCCCATGGACCAAGTGACTATCACATGTTGGAGGTAAATCTTTGATTTCTTTTCGGGATAATTATTTACGGAAATGAAAAATAAACAAGTGAACTAAATAAATAAGCAACTTGAAATATCATCATTCTGCCCTGTTTTGCGAAGTGTTCCGACTTCCGCTTTGCTCATATAGAGGCGAATGGGAGATGGGCGATTCTATCGTGAGCCAGCAGGACGCGTCGCGTACCCGAGCGCGGCGAGTCGCACAGGAATGTCAGGGTTGCACTACTAGCAGGGCCCGTCCTACCGCTGGGGGAAAATTTTCAGTAATACGATCCCCACTCCCACCCTCCATTTTCATCCTTTGCGACGACCACCCTTCCCCATCCTACGACTTTCCACAGCCTCCTGTCCTACCACAGCTTCCGAAATTTCTCAAAAATTTTGTCATCGGGTGGGAAGGAAGGATAAGTCGTCACCAACCAATCACTAGTTTCAGCTAGTAGTTGTATAGTAGTTCTGAAACCAACTTGATGAAGCGGGAAGGGAGGAGGGGTCTGCGATGAAATACGACCCCCTCCCTTTCGTCCCTATTCGCAGCTCAGGCGTCCAACGTAGCACTACCCGCACCAGGTACACACGAGTCGTCATCGGAGCAAGAGATTTGTTCTTGTTCACGGCGAATTCTTCAGAGGAGTAATGGTATGGAACCCTTGAATAATTTGAAGGAGCCACATGCCATCATAACTCGTACGGAAGGGCCGCGGCGTCGCAGGCCACGCCCCTCACCCCGGGGAGCCACGATAGAAACGCCTCAAACCCCGAGGCTAATCCTTTTAGCTTTCCCATCTTCAAAAGAAGTTCCTCAGAACCGTCGAAGTGACTTGGGAAAGTGTAAAAAAGTTTATGAATCTCGCAGTATCACGTCTTGCTTTTTCCGATCAAATTTTGGCCAACGAACTTTGCGGCTGCTCTCCGATTTCGGTATTAGACTTCCGATTTCCGATCAATCCTGGATTGTATGCTCAGTGTATTTATTTAATGTTAGCATTAATAAGCGCTAGCGTAAGCGTTCAAGGAGTAAAATACCTAAAAAGTGATTTTCAGCTGGTTGACGGACGAGTTGTCTACCGCTGGAACGCCGGTTCAGGAGAAGGAGCCGTAACCACGGAGAAGTCGATTGCAGACGCTCAATGGCATCGTATCTCCGTTAGTCGTCGTGGACGCAGAACACGCTTGCAACTTGACGGTGTTGATACGAAAGAAGGATGGAGTCCACCTGGTGAGGAATTATCCTGTTTTCCTGGCTACTTTATATCCTTTGCTCCTCAAATGCTATTGTGTTGTACCGCTAGAAGTTATTAGTAACTTTTGGTACTGCTTCAGGAAGTGATGTCATCAACCTCTACTCATCCAGTCATCGACTATTCTTCGGCGCTCGTGTTGAACGTGAAAATTCGTCCTCGGTGTCAATCACAAAGGCGATTGTGGCCTGTTTTCGAGCGATTTCGATTGATCGGAGGTTAGCTGCTAAGTCTTCCGCTGTTCTTAATCGTTTCCTGACAAACTTGTTCGCCAGCTCTCTTGCAGCTGTTATTGATTGAGACCTTTCATTTTCAGATTGCTAATGGTTTTCGATTTCAGAAGTGTTGCGAAGACTCGCCAAGGGTTGCGATTATATTCCGCTAGCACAGGTTGTCGAGCGATGGCAGCTACTCCATGCTCCGAAGCGCCCTGTCGTAATGGGGGAATTTGCCATGTGATCGATAGGACTTATCAGTGGGTTTAAGCCTTCATTACTACTTTTTCATTGCATTCGTATTACCTATAGATTACTTATTTACAACTTTACAGGAAACAATGAAAAATTGTTCAATTGGGAAATAGCACAAAACAAGCAAGGAATAAAAAAAACTTGGGAAAGGGAAAGATCACCCACTATATATAATTTGCTGTCTGTTTGTTTGTCCGGAAATTCGGTTCGACCTGAAGAACGACTTGGAGAGGTCGGGTCAAGGTGGGGATGGGTAGGGCATGGGACAAGATGTAAAGAGCACACATGACCTATGCGAAGCCCCGCCCACAGTGGGCGGGGCATGCGCCGAAAGTTGGCGGTGCCGCATAAAAAACTCATAACCCGCTCAAAAAGCGAGATGGGAAAAAGTGGAATAAGGTTGGCAAGGGGTTGTCAGACTAATTAGAGACATACCCGAAATGGGCGGGGCGTACTTGAGGTAGGCGGCGCTTCCCACAAAATCCATTAACTCGGTTCCCGAAAGAGTTTAGAAATCGCAAAAAGGTCGGTGTAGGAGGACAACAGGTATAGATAGATGGTGTTAGATGTGATTAC